ATTTACCTAGTTTTCAGTTAATGGGTAACACTTAAACATTAAGTGGTGTATGTTTGTTTTTTAATTATTTTTTTTCTCTCTTTTTTTTTGGAGAGGTTTTTGTTATAGGGTGCGTGCGCACGCCAGACAGAGAGAGAGAGACATAGAGACAGAAAGCGAGAAATCACCCCCCAGGGGGGATGGTCACGCCGTAATCCTTTCTCCTCCATTCTCCTCTCGGGATCTTGGGCACGCACGCACACGCGCCCGGCGTGAGTTTTAGGCCACCGGGTCTGGGACGCGAACCGCGGTCGACTACGTGGGAGTCCAACGACATAGCCATTACACTAACTGCTGGTTCCCTGTTTTTTAATTATTTAAATTGAATTTTATTTACTGTTATTTTTTATGTTTCTAGATAGATACACAGAGAGAGAGAAGGAAAGTGAAAAAGCAAGCCTCCAGATTCAGGACTTGAACCATGGTCGCCCATGTGGGAGTCCAGTGCCCTTAACCACCACGCCGCCTGCCTGCCCCATTTAAAAATTTTTTTGAGAGGTTTTTGCTATAGGGCATGTGCACTCGCTAGAAAGAGAGACAGAGAGACAGAAAGCGAGAAATTACCCCTCCCCCCCAGAGGGATAGCCACGCTGCAATCCCTTTTCCTTCATTCTCCTCTCGGAATCTTGGGCTTGCATGCACACTTGCCTGGCGTGAGTTTAAGCCACCGGGTCCGGGACTCAAACTGCGGTCGACTACATGGGAGTCAAGCAACATAAAGATTACACAAACTGGTGGTCCCTGTTTTTTTGTTTTTTAATTTGACCAGAGAGAGAGAAAGTGAGAAAGCAAGTTACCAGGTCCAGGACTCAGAGTGTAGTCAGCCATCTGGGAGGTAGGGGTGGGAAAAAGGGATAGACACAGTGAGAGGAGAAGTGAAAAATCATCCTCAAGGGTGTTGGCCACACTGCAGTCCTTTCTCTATTCTCCTCCCAGGACCTTGGGCACACACACATGTGCCCAGTGTGAGTTTCAAGCCACCGGGTCTGGTACTCGAACCATGGTCAGCCATGTGAGAATCCAGCGACGTAACCTCCACACCATCTGCTGGTTCCGGTTTCTTTTGTTGTTGGTTTTGTCTTTTTTTTTCCCCTTAGTTTGCTATAGGGGTGCATCCATGAGAGAGAGAGAGATGACTGACCCAGTGAAGATGGCCACACCACTGTTTCTTCTCCATTCTCTGCTCAGGATTTTGGGCCCACATACTGGGCGTGATTATTCAGCCACCTTCACCACCATAGACGCATGCGACTCCAGCAGCAGAGTTTTAAGTGGCCTTAGAGGATTGTAGCTTTCACGAGCACCAAAGGGATGTATTAAAAAGTTAAAAATGTTGGGGCTAGCAGGTGGTGTGGTGGCTAAGGTGCCGGACTCTCACATGGCCGACTATGGTTCAAACCCTGGACCCAGTGGCTTGAAAATGACATGGGGCATATGTGCATGCATGTCCAAAATCCCAAGACGAAGACGGAGAAGAAAGGATTTGGGTGTGTTTTTTTTTTTTCAATTCTCCCTCCCTGTCTCTCCGGCGAGCATGTGTACTCTAGCAAAAATCTCTCTTTAAAAAAAAAAAAAATAACTTGTATGTTTATATATTCTCTCTGCTCAGGAAGTTGTCATTTTACTTAATCCTTGTGACTGGTGAGAAAGAATTGGTATATTATCTCGAATAACTGCTATAAGAGTGAGAGTTCTTCTCATATTGGGTACAGGTCAGTGTCTTGCTTGCCAGTTGGAAATTAGGAACCTTTTGGTTCTGAACGAATTCTGGTTATAATAGCTGTGGTCCTCGTATTATAGCAGGTAACCATTTCCCGTCATGCCAAGCCTTCAGTTTAGAAAAATATAACTGTTCATTTCTTAGAAACTGCTCATACTTTCAGTACTGGCATTTTTGCTATTCGTGATTAACAGCCTGTATCATTTCAGGGAAATACATGACAGGTTTTCTGTTGTTGAAAACCTGGCGGATACTGAGGTGGGGGTCTGTGAGCAATTTCTGTTGTTCAAAAAGTTGCATGAAAACTGCCAGGAAATTTTCAAGCTTCCAGGTCCAGGACTTGAACTGTATAGTCAGTCATGTGAGAGCCAGTCACCTTAATCACTGCTCACCGGAGAGACTGAAAGGGGGAGATCACCCCCAGCACAAGGATGGCCACGCTGCAGTCCCTTCTCCATTCTCAGGCAGGAGGAGGGCTGGCCATGGACCTTAACTGCAGCACCACTGGTGGCCCCTCTTTTTTATTTTTAAAGATAGGATTTTCTCGGCTTGCAAGTAGTGTGGTGGTTAAGGTGCTGGACTCCCACATGGCAGACCATGGTTCGAGTCACAGACCTGGCGGCTTGCTTTCTCACTTCCTCCCTGTCTCTCTCTCTGGCCAAGTTGACCAAATAATAATAAATAAATAAATAAAATGATTATTTTTTAAGATAAAAAAGGATTTTTTCCCCCCATTCACAATAGAGAGCATGTACATGCATGAGAGAAAGAGGAGCACACGCCACGGGTCTCAGCATGCCGTGGGAGCCCTCCAGCCTGGAATGCCACGGAGTTCACACCTGTGCCGGGCACGTGGCCAGCTGACTGAGTCAGGGGCCAGAGTCACTGCCGCCGTGTGGAATCCACCTGCTCTTGGGCCTCGAATTCGTGCCGCACTGCAGAACTGGTCCTCAGTATTTTGTTTTGAAGGAAAAATCAACAACATCTTGTTTTCAAAAAGGAAGTATTTACTCCTTCCATGCAAGAAAGAGACTAAAGGCACTCCTGACAAGGTCTTCATGCCGTAACCTACAGCCTCAGCCAGCCCGGATCCCAGGTGTGCGTCATGAGCCTGGCGTGTATAGACAGCAGCCTCGGGCCTTCCCGTGAGTCCAGCTTCCAAGAGTGATGCGGTATCACTGCGTTGTCACTTGACTGTGGATTTCAGCGTAATTTAGCAGATATTTACAATGTCTTATTAACCAGTAGAAGTAAAGGAGAAAGCTTTTCTCACTATTAACTTTCTTCATTAAGAGAATTGTGAGTTTTAGGAAATGACATAGTTCAAAGTCTATCAGTATAGTGAAAGCCATTTTCTGAACTTAGTCTAGCTGTTTGGACGTAGTACATAACCTGGCTTGCACAATACTGGATGACGTGTTTTCCTTAATTGTGTTCTCCAGTGAGTATCTTCCCGGTCTTGTTATTCTCTCTGCTTCACGCTGCAACGTACACGAAGAAGGTCCTCGACGTAAGTAAGGCTGTGTCGTTTCGTCCACTCCCGGATTGCAAAGAGTGGACGTGAATTTGAGTTTTAAGACATTGTGGCGTTTGTCACAAAAAGCCCCTCTATTTCTTACACATTCGTTGTAAATTATTTAGTGGTTTGCAAGTTTTGATAGTTAACTTTTCACAAACTAAAATACATCACGACTTCTCCGATGACCCCATGGTACATTTTATAGATAAAAGATTGTACTTATAATTACCCCAGCTTAAAAAAAAATAATAAAATTACCCCCTCCCCGAAGTGGGCTATATTAATAGATCTCTCTGTCTTTTTAAAAACTCATGTCTTAAAATCTGAGTCGTCAGAGAGCTCTTGTTCTGGCCGTGTTTGGTGACCAGATAAGTAGAACGTGCTGAGCCTCTTTTACACCGATGTTCACAACTGTTGCTTCACTACATTTTCTTACTGCTGGGGTAGGTAATAAGCCTGACTTTAGTGTGCCAGGCGGGTGACTGCATCTACCTGAAATCTGAATTGAAATGTGCACATGTATGTGCTCTGTTAGCCTTTTTCTTTATGCAATTCTTCCATCGGAGCAGGAGCTAGACTTTGTACTGTTAACTAAGAAGTAACATGTACTGTAACCGTATTACTGGGTGTCATATTTTGTTACAGTTTGAGAAAAACAACCACCATTTTTGGTGAAATAATGTGATCTTAGAAAAAGAAAACCTCTAAGAATAAAAAGTTCTTTTTGAAAATCTGGTTGTCGTCAAATATACAACAGTAAACTAGGAAAGTGTACCTTTGTAAACAGAAATTTACATTGTAAACTTCTGTGTCACCATTTTCCCATCATTGGCTTTGGTTTTATTACTTATTGGATATTCTGTTTCTCTAAAGGAAGAAAATAATTGAGTTAATGAATGTTTGTTTTCTTCTGTTTCAGGCAAGGGGTTCAAACAGTTTACCGCTCCTGAGATCTGTTCTAGATAAATTAAGTGCAAATCAACAAAATATTCTGAAGTTCATTGCTTGTAATGAAATTTTCTTGATGCCTGCTACAGTTTTTATGCTTTTTAGGTAAGAATAAAAATACATTTGTTCTGGAAGACTGATGACTTTTAAGTGAACAGTGTAAAGATACTAACTCAGATTTTACCCTGCCGAATCTGTCGAAGTAGGTATCACTAATCTAAACCATCTCACTTTATAGTAGAGAAAGTGGGGCATTGTAGTAAGCCTAGGAATTGTCTTATCATTCCTTATGATACAGTATTTAATATTTTGGAGGTTAATTTCAGAATTACTGCCTTTGAAAGAGTCTAGGGGAGCAGTGGGAGCAGCGGATGGTGCTGAACATGGTCGACCATGGTTCAGGCCCCCGACCTGGTGGCTTGAAAATCATGCTGGGCCTATGTGCATGCGTGCCTGCCCAAGATCCCGGGAAGAGAATGGAGAAGGGATTTCACATGGCCACTCTCCCTGAGTTGGGAATTCTTCCTTTCCCTCTCACCGTCTCTCCAGCGAGCGCATGCGCCCTAAGGCAAAAACCTCTTAAGAAAAAAGTCTTAAGACATCTAGTCTATTCTGCCGGAACTGAGATTTTTTCTTAGAGAAGAATCTTAAAAATGATGGCCTCTTATTAACATCTGGAGTTGCCTGCTATTGTCTGCTTATTCTGTTTGCGCATTAGCTGTAGAAGGAATACATGAATGATGAAAACCTTCCTTTCAAAAATGGCAACATTAAAGCTGGGTGCTGGGCCCCGTGCCTTTTATTCTAGAAGCTACTCCGAAGGCCGAGTCAGGAGGGTGGAGAATTTGAGGCCAGGCTGGGCAGACATAGCAAGGTTGTCTAAAAAAATGAGAACTGTAAAATACAGTAATATTGGCCTCTCAACTTGTGTTCTTGCATTGAAGTGTACATTTTTGCATTGCTTTTCCAATTTTGAGTTTTGCAAGTAACAGGACATTCTAGATAAAAGATGAAATACTGGGACCATCAGTTAGCGTAACGGCGCTGGACTCCCATGTAGCCAACCGCGGTTCAGGTCCCGGGCCCAGTGGCTTAAACTCACGCCAGGCACGTGTGCGTGCGTGCCCAAGATCCCGAGAGGAGAATGGAGGAGAAGGGATTGTGGTGTGGCCATCCTCCCTGGGGGGTGATTTCTCGCTTTCTATCTCTTTGTCTCTCTCTGTCTGTCTGGCGAGTGCATGCGCCCTATAGCAAAAACCTCTCCAAAAAACGAAAGAGAAAAAGATTAAATACCGACCGTGAAGTCTAGTTGCAAGTCCATTCTTTGTTTCCTAAAGTATTTGATATGTGTACAAGTATGTCGCCCTTTAAAAATATTAACTTATTTCTTTAGTTTCTATTTTACTTTTTTTTGGTAGTAAGGTTTTTGGCTATAGGGCACGTGTGGTTGCTAGAGAGACAGAAACAGAAAGCGAGAAATCACCTCCTGGGGAGTGACCGTGCTGCAGTCACTCCATTCTTCTCTCAGGATTTTGGGCATGCACGCACATGTGCCCGGTGTGAGTTTTAAGTCACTGGGTCTGGGACTTGAACTGCCGTTGACTGTGTGGGAGTCCAGCGACATAAATAGTACGCTGTCTGCTGGTCCCGGTTTTTATTTTACGTTCAGGGTATAATGTATCAGTTGCCTGCACCTTGTCTCTTTAAAAGCACTCATGGAATATAGATTTGTGGCCATTTATGTTGACTTGTATAGTTCTGCTTTGTTTTGTTTTAATGGCTTTGCAATGTCCCGGCATATTTGTTCACTACGTTTTATTACCTGTTCACCTGATGACGGACATTTGTTTCCAGATTTTTAACTTTTTCAGATATTTTCTGTAGTAAATATTTTTTTACTTGCTTATGCTTACATACCTGTTTTCTTTTTTTAAAAAAGAATTATTTATTTAGCGGCCGGCAGGTGGCGTGATGCTTAAGGGGACTGGATTCCCACATGGCTGACTGCAGATCAAGTCCCGGACCTGGCAACTTGCTTTCTAGCTTTCCTTTTCTCTCTGCCTCTGTCTGGTCAAATTAAATAGTAATAACCAGTGGAATGAAATAAATCAATAGCTCTTTTTTCTTAAAGAATTATTTATTCAATTTTATTTACAATTTTTGTTATTTATTTCATTGTTTTAGAGTTTTTGAGGCACATGCGCTTGCTGGAGAGACGCAGAGACAGTAAGAGGGAAAGTGAGAAATCCCCCCAGGGGATTGTGGTGTGGCTACCCGCAAATCCCTTCTCTTCCGGAAACTTGGGCACGCACACATGCATCTGGCATGATTTTCAAGCCACTGGGTCTGGGACTTGAACTGCTCTTGGCCATATGGGAGTCCAGTGACATAACCACTATGCCACCTGCTGGCCCCTTACTATTTTTAGTCTGCTGTAGGGCATGCACACTCATCAGAGAGGAAGTAGGGCAGGGGATGGCAAGAAAGCAAGCCACTGGGCCCAGGACTTAGACCTGTTGTCAGCCTGCGGGGGTCCAGGGCCTTGAGCACCAGGCCACCTGCCGGCCACTATACCCATTTTCTTTAACATAGACATCAAAATTATTTTGCTACGTATAAGCTAGGTGTATTGTGTTTAATAGACCATACCATTTGTCCTCTAAAATGTATTGCCTATTTTTCATAATCTTGTTAATTTCTTACAAACCATCATTATCAATTATAAAGTTGTATTTTTATCTGTTTTAATGTTCATCACCTTGCTTAACTTGTAGGAGTGTTTTATATTCCTGACAGTTAACTCCTCCTTTAGCACTAGTATTTTTTCAAATAAAGAATGGATTCTTAGAGTTCTTTATGAATGCATTTATTCTGTTCTTTTAGGTAACATTTTCCTACAAAAACTCAGAATTGCCATGCATTGCTTCAATTGTGGGATCCCAATTAGACTATATAATCTAAATGCAATTTTTAAATGATAACAGGGGAAGGACTTTTACTGGGTGTTAGGGACCTGGATTATAGTTGATTTATTTGACTTTTAGTCTTCTGAGAATTAATCTTTTTCATGTAGAAACCAGTATTGGCCAGCAGGTGGCATGGTGGTTAAGGTGTCAGGTTCCCACGTGGCTGACAGAGGTTCAAATCTCAGCAGCTTAAAAATCATGCCGGCTGCATGTGTGCATGTGCCCAAAATCTCAAGAAGAGAGTGGAGAGAAGGGATTATGGCATGGCCATCTCCTGGGGGAGGGTGATCTCTCACTTTCCCTCTCTCTCTCTCTCTCTCTCTCTCTCTCTCTTATAAGCACACATACCCTGTGGCAAAAACCTAAAAAAAAAAAAAAAAAAAAAACAGTGTAGGGTGTTCTCCATGTGTATTTTGGAGTATGTGCTTGTAAACACATCTGTGTTTCTTTCTGTCTCAGCTTTTTGGAAATGTTAATACTGCCTCCCTCCTTGAGTGGATTACAAAGTGAGCACTGTATTTATGTTTGTCATTGTACACATTTTTTTTTTGGAGAGGTTTTTATGGCGCGTGCGCTCACCAGAAAGGCAGAGACAGAAAGCGAGAAATCACCCCCGAGGGAGGATGGCCACGCCGCAATCCCTTCTCCATTCTCTTCTTGGGATCTTGGGCACGCACGCACATGCACCTGGTGTGAGTTTAAGCCACCAGGTCTGGGACTCGAACCACGGTCGACTACATGGGAGTCCAGTGCCATAGCCATTATGCTAACTGCTGGTCCCTATATACATTTTTATACATATTCTGGAAGAGTATATTGGAGCTATGACTTTGGGAAAGGCCTCAGTCATATGATGGTAAATTTTATTTCTAGTGAATATTTTCTATGCATAGTTTTTACTTTTTGTGTCAAAGTCAAAAATTAGTCAAGTTAGTGGAGAAAACATAAATCGTTAGTAATATGTTTATAATCATGTAAATTATTAAGAAAGTAATCACAATTTAGAATAAAGGACTCAAAAGTAAACCTTAAAAAATTACCCAACAGGGGCCAGCAGGTGGTGTGGTGGTTAAGGTGCTGGAATTCCCACATGGTTGACTGAAGTTTGAATCCCAGACCTGGCAGCTTGCTTTCTCATTCCCCAACCACCAGCACCCCGCCCCCCGTTTTTCTCTGGCAAAACTCATGTGAAAATAATAATAATAATAACAATAATAATAATAGTAAATCTTCTTTTTAAACACACACACACACACACCCAGAGGGGATGGCCACACTATGATGTCTTCTCCATTATCCTCTCAGGATTTGGGGTATGCATGCACATGCGCCTGGGCATGAGTTTGAAGCCTCTAGGTCCAGTATTCAAAAGGTGCTTGACTACTTGGGAGTCCCGCAGTGTAACCATTATGCCATCTGGTCCCCACATTAAGCACATTAGCATCTTGATGTATTTTTTCCAAAATAATTTTGAAAATGTATTTGTAACAATAAGTACAGTTTTATATTTCTACTGTTTTCAAAGTTACACATTTTTCATAATGAAGATTTTACGTAATTGTGTGCTGAATTCATTAAATAAACATACAGCTGACCCTATTACCTTACTTTCCACATTAGATTATTGCTGTTTTATTTTTAGTTATTTCTGCAAATATCTTAATTCAGAAATTTATTTTTACGAGGAAAGAATTTCAGACTTGGACTTTCATAAACACATAAATAACTTCTGGGATATTGCAATTGGGCGTATTAACCAAGAACAATAGTGTAGGCTATGTAGATTTACTGGTGAGCTGATGTAATTTTGAGCTTCATGTGGACTATACTGTGTGTTTATTGCCATTATATCTGTTTCTTTCAGTGGTCAAGGAAGTTTGCTCCAACCTTTTATATACTATAGATTCCTTACTCTTCGGTACTCCTCGCGAAGAAATCCGTACTGTCGGTAAGCTGGTACTCCGTTTAAATCTGTTTTGCTGAAAGTATTGTAAAAGTATAGTATTTATGGCTCTTAGCAGCTAATTGCTGATCTGTCACAATTTAGAAGTGGGTGTCGTTTTTGTAAATTGGCGTTGGGCCTTAGACCTAAGTGGGATTGGTGAGGAGGTGCTTGCATTTCTCTTCAGAAACTGAGACCCGGGGTAAAACCTAGAGAATCTGTGTTTAAGACATAAGTCTCACTGTCATGGAACTTCCGTAGTTGAAGATACAAAAGCACGTGTCAAATAATGAAAGAAACACACAGAAGTCCGGGGTAGTAACAGATGCATTGTAGGTTGGTTTGTGCCGGTACTGTAGACCGTGGTAGGGAGGGTGGCTGGGCCAGGAGGTAGACGCTCCCAGGAAGAGGTCACAAATAGAAACACAGGGGCCAGCAGGTGGCAGGGCGTTAAGGCGCTGGGCTCCCACAGGCCGACCGCTGTTCAGAAGTAAGTTTTAAAAGTCCTTAGATTCGTAGGTTACTTGACAGCCTGATTCTCCTTTCAGGGCTTTTTGTCCTCTTATAGACAATATCTCTTTTATAATATTTCTGAAATAGAACTTATGATTTTAGTTTTTTGTTGGTTTTTTAGACTTTTGTCATAGGGTGTATGTGCAGCCACCAGAGAGAGATAGTGAGAGGGAAAGTGAGAAATCATCTCCTGGAGGGGTGGGATTTGGGTTACATACGCATGCGTGCGTGCACACGTGCCTGATGTGAATTTCAAGCTACCGGGTCTGGGCTTAGAACTGCAGTTGGTCATGTGGGAGTCCAACACTTTAACCACCATACCAGCTGCTGGCCCTAAGGCAGTTTTTAGTGAGCCTTTAGTAGCTAATAAACCTTTATTTTTACCTGATTCCATGAGGTTTTTTTGCCTGTTTTTCTTCTGACCCATGTATTCATTTCAGTTATCTTCTTTAAAGGACATTTCTTTTTTTTAAAGTTTCTGCATTCTGGGGCCAGCAGGTGACTTGGTGGCTAAGGTGCCGGGCTCCCACATGGCCAACCATGGTTCAGGTGCCAGACTTCTCTTGCTTTCTTCCTTCATCTCTCTGTCTCTCTCTGGTCAAATTAGAAAGATAATAATAAATAAAATTAAAAAGAACAGAGAGGACAAACATAGAAAGGTAGAACAGAAATTGCACAGCTTGGGACCAGCAGTTGGTATAATGGCTATGTCGCTGGACTCGCATGTAGTTGCCTGCAGTTCGAGTCCTGGACCCAGTGGCTTAAACCCAAGCTGGGCGCGTATGCGTGCATGACCAAGACCCCGAGAGGAGAATGGAGGAGAAGGGATTGCAGCGTGGCCATCCCCCCTGGGGGGTGACTTCTCGCTTTCTGTCTGTCTCTGTCTGTCTGGCGAGCGCATATGCCCTATAGCAAAACCTCTTTAAAAAAAAAAAAGAGAAATTGGCGCGTTTTATTTTTTCTCTTTTAGTTGCCAGAGGACACATACATTTCCCTGTTAGGGCAGGGAAGAGTAGAAAGCACCCCTAAGCGAGTGTGGTCACCTACAATCCCTTCTCCATTTCTCCATCGTAATAGGATTCCGGGCCCCCACGTGTGCCTGGTGTGTTTTTGTTTCTGTTTTTGTTTCATATCTTCAGAGGGTGCATACACTCTGGAGAGAGAGGGAGAGGAAGAAAGCATGGGTTGTAATCACACAGCCCTTCTCCAGTTCTCCGTCCCATTGAGATTTGGGCTTGCACGTGTGCCCGGCATGTTTTTCAAGCTCCAGGGATGGGGTATTGAGCTGCAGACAGCCCTGTGGTGTCCGGCTGCCTGACCCACTAGGCTGGGGCCCGCCCAGGGGTTGTATTTTTATGCAGGAAGAGCCAGCAGGTGAGGCGAGCATTGTGAACAGTGGTCAGAGTTGTCCTTCGTGGTCCTTGGGTTAGTCGTAATCGGTGGTACTAGGTACACGATTTCGTGTGCATTTGCTTGTACAATGTGAGTGTGTTCACGGGACACAGTTGAGCTTACTTAGGGCAAGGCAAAGCCCACTTACTATCCGAACATAGACATGGAACCCAGCTGGGTCTTAGGTGCTAGGTGGCAGGGAACTCATGTGCCTGTCTTGGAAGTTGGGCTTAAGTTGAAGGCAGCACAGGCCACTTTGATCCCCAAGATGACCCAGCTGGGGAACCACATCTGTGTCATTTAAGCTTCTGCAGCTCAGGAAAGTCTGTTCCTGTCCTATAGGTAAGGGAATTTCCGACTGTTCATTCGGGGAAACACTGTGTAGAATTTCCCATACAATATCATTTTTCTTGCTCTCTTTTCAGGAACTGGTTGAATTTGCCTAAATTAAATATGAAAATGATGCGACTCTATTGTAAAAAATAATTTTTTTTTCTTTTCTTTTTTTTTTTTTTGGAGAGGTTTTTGCTATAGGGCGCATGTGCTCACCAGACAGAGAGAGACAGAGAAACAGAAAGCAAGAAATCACCCCCCAGAGGGGATGGCCACGCCGCAATCCCCTCTCCTCCATTCTCCTCTTGGGATCTTGGGCACGCATGCACACACGCCCGGCGTGAGTTTAAGCCACCGGGTCCAGGATGCGAACCGCGGTAGACTACGTGGGAGTCCAGCGACATAGCCATTAAGCTAACTACTGGTCCCGTAAAAAATAAATATTAATCACCCTAGCCTCAGTTCTCAGGGATAGCCATATATAAAATTCTTCTGTTACATGGGGTTTTTTTTCAGAGTTTTTTTTGCTATAGGGTGCGTATATTCACCAGAGAGACAGAGAGACAGAAAGCAAGAAATCACCCCCCAGAGGGGATGGCCACGCCGCAATCCCCTCTCCTCCATTCTCCTCTTGGGATCTTGGGCACGCATGCACACACGCCCGGCGTGAGTTTAAGCCACCAGATCTGGGACTCAAACTGTGGTCAACGTCATGGTAGTCCAATGACATAGCCATTATGCCAACTCAACTGCTGGTCCCTCCTTTTTTTTTTTTTTTTTTGAGGTTT